TGTGAAAATCTCTGCTCTTCGTTTTTCTGCGTTGAGGAGGCTGAGGATTAGCAGGCAGCTTCATTTAAAGCTTGCTCGTTCCAACACTCTCTACCTCTGTCTCTCTCTCCTTGCAGATTGCCCTGGAATGTGGGATAACATCACCTGCTGGCCAAACGCAGATTACGGGGATGTGATATCTGTCAACTGTCCAGGATTCTTCCGAATCATTAACTCCAATGATGGTAAGAGTGACTCTAATGGGTCCGACTCATACTGAGGAAACAACTGACCATCTGCGATCTAGAACATAGAACAGTACAGCACAGTATAGGCCCATCGTCCCACGATGTTGTCCTGACCTATTACCCTACTAAGATCAAACTACCCTACATTTTACTATCCTCCATGTGCCTATCCAAGAGTCGCTTAAAAGTTTCTAAAGTATCTGACTCCACTACCACTGCTGGCAGCGCATTCCACACGCCCACCACTCTCTGTGTGAAGAACCTACCTCTGACATCTCCCCTATACCTTCCTCCAATCACCTTAAAATTATGCCCCCTCGTAATAGTCATTTCCGCCCTGGAAAAAAGTCTTGGGATGTCTGTTTTGAAAAAGAGCGCCGCCTTTTATTTTCACTCCTCTATGAAGGGGTGAGCCACCAGGGGTTGATTGAAGGGCAATGGGTCTACTCCTGCTCCTATTTTCTATGATTTATGTTTCGATATGTAACAAGAGACTGCTGTATAATATATTTAGCTCCCTTTTTTTGGCTACAGACAGTGTGATGAAGGGATAGGTATCCAGACATATTGACATTGAAACCTATAAAATTCTCACAGGTCTGGAGGGGCTTAAATGGCCAAATCCTCTTCTTATCGTCTGTGTTTCTATGTTACCTGCACAGTCACACAAAACCATTACAGACCATGGCCCCTTCATTGTTTAACAGTGATTTTATAGGCCTTACAATTTTGTCAGAATATCATTAATGTCTTATTGTTGAAAAGGTCAAGTCACATAGCACACATCAGGACCCATGCAAGAATGCCAGGATTCGAGCAATCATAACAATTTATACTGCAGGGTGGAGAGAAAGGGTTCCATTGGCGCAATGATACTCAGAGAACCAGGATAAATTGGCCAGACCAACAGAAACGTTCATGGGATATGGAGAAGGATATTTTAGAGAAGATTAGCAACATGCTGCTGAAACTTTTTGTCTTAAATTCATCAGGAAAAAAGTCAATTCATACATTCACAACAATTTATATCGTAGAGAAAGAGTCCTGTTGGTTACCTGGCCATTCTGATTTGCCGAGGTCATAGAGTCATACAGCACAGCAACAGACCCTTCTGTTCAACTTGTCCATGCTGATCAGATATCCTAAATTAATCTAGTCCCATTTGCCAGCATTTGGCCCATATCCCTCTAAACCCTTCCTGTTCACATGCCCATCCCAATGCCTTTTAAATGTTGTAATTGTACCAGCCTCCCCTACTTCCTCTGGCAGCTCGTTCCATACATGCACCACCCTCTGTGTGAAAATGTCACCCCTTAGGTCCTTTTCAAATCTTTCCCCTCTCACCTTAAATCTATGCCCTCTAGTTTTGGACTCCCCCACCCTGGGGAAAAGACCTTGTCTATTTACCTCTTTACCTCTCATGATTTTATAAATCCTATAAGGTCACCCTTCAGCTTCTGACACTCCAGAGAAATTAGCCCCAGTCTATTCAGCCTCTTTTAGCTTAAACCCTCCAACCCTGGCAACATCCTTGCAAATCTTTTCTGAACCCTTTCAAGTTTCATAACATCCTTCCTACAGCAGGGAGACCAGAACTGCACACAATATTCCAATAGTGGCCTAACCAATGTCCTGTACAGCTACAACATGACCTCCCAACCCCTATACTCGATGCACTGACCAATAAAGGTAGGCATACCAAACGCCTTCTTCACCATTCTGTCTGAGACTCCACTTTGAAGGAACTATGGACCTGTGTTGCCACGGAGAAAACAGTGAGGAAATTATAGATTGTCCAAGTTCCCAGATAATTACAAAAAACAGATACAAGGCTTGAAGAAATTCCTTTTGCTTGCAGATTAGCTGTAACCGATAGAACCTGTGCAGGCATGATGGGCTGAATGGCCTCCTGCCGCTCTGTAACAATTGCAGATTTTCTGGCCACGACAATCGTGAAATTCAACATCCCTGAATTTGTTCTGGCATTTTCAGAGCACTCAGAAATGTGCTCAGAAACAATCCAGCGGGCTTTATCACTGGCATCAGTGCCCTCGATGACCCGAACGAATGGCTCCGTTGCCCATCTGTGGCCCCTTGCTCCCACCTTGAGGAAGACTGGCTGACCTTTAACCTTGTCTTTCGACTTGGCGGTCAGACAGACATGAGTAGCATGGATCCCGAGGGCACAGCCTTAGAGTAAAGGGAAGACCTTTTAGAACGGAGATAAGGTGAAACTCCTTCAGCCAGAGAGTGGTGAATCTATGGAATTCACTGCCACAGAAGGCTGTGGAGGCCAGGTCATTGAGTATATTTAAGATTGAGATAGATAGGTTCTTGATTATCAAGGGGATCAAGGGTTACAGGGAGAAAGCGGGAGAATGGGGTTGAGGAACTCATCAGCCATGATTGAATGGCGGAGCAGACTTGATGGGCCGAATGGCCTAATCTCTGCTCCTATGTCTTATGCTCTTATGGATCATTTCCAGCCTTTCTCTGCCTTTAACATTGTGCGTACGGTGGCATGATTGTGCCCCCCTTGCCGCAGCCATGTTGGATGGTCAACATTTTCCTTCTGTCTCTCAATAGGCTGGAAGGTCGTAGGGTCTTTTCCTTTTTCTGTTCTGGTTTTACTCACGTTGGAATTTTTTCAGTTCTAGGGATAATTTACCGAAACTGCACCAATGAAGGTTGGTCTGAAACCTTTCCCCACTACTATGATGCCTGTGGAGTTGATGAAAATATCACGGAAATCGATGACCAGGTAATTCTACGTTTTGTAGTCAGACTTACACACACAAACAAGCAATAAGGGAAGATATTCCATTGGAGGTGGTTCACAGAAGGTTCACTGAGATGATCCCAATGGAGCAATTACCTTATGAGCAAAGGCTAAACAGATTGGGACTCTACTCTCTGGAGTTTAGAAGAATGAGAGGGGATCTTATTGAAACGCACAGGATTCTTAAGGGGCTTGACAGGGTCAATGCTGAGAGGATGTTTCCCCTCATTGGAGAGTCTAGGACCAGAAGGTATAGGTTCAGAGTAAAGGGCCACCAATTTAAGACTGAGATGAAGAGGAATTTCTGCTGTCAGAGGGTTGTGAGTCTTTGGAAATCCTTCCCACAGAAAGCTGTGGGGGCAGAGTCCTTGTGTATATTGAAGGCTGAGACAGAGAGATTCTTGATCAGTTGGGAAAATCAAGGGTTACGGGGAAAGTGGACATGGGGAATATCAGATCAGCCATGATCCCATTGAATGGTGGAGCAGGCCAGAGGGGCCGAATGGCCTACTCCTGTTTCTGTTTCTTATGATCTTAAACCCTCCTTATCTTCTCTCCTGTCAAATACAGCATTATGCAATGGTTACAACACACAAGAAAAGCATTTGGTCCAGCATGTCCATGCCTACTCTCTGTAAGAGCACGAAGGAACGTGAGGAAAACCTTTTCACCCAGACGGTGATGGGGAGAATCTGGAATTCACTGCCTGTAAGGATAGGAGAGGCTGAAACCCTCATCATATTTAACAAGTACAGCGAATGTTTTCTTAACCAACATCTGTGGGACTGGTTGATCGAATATACCAGCTGATCAAGGGGTCTGTATAATCAATGTAAAAACACACACTAAGTAATAGAAACATTATGCAGGGGGTATACGCATCGCTGTTATACTTTATTTACAGCATAAATTACTTAAATAACAATGCAACTTTTTATTAAATAAGACTTGCCAGCAGAGAGACTTTCACACTTACCCTCAACTGACTACTCAGACGTTGTGAAAATACAGAAAACTTCAGGTATTTTGAGGGATATAATTTTTGCCGGCTCATCGAGAGTGCCGGCTCATTTAAGGTGCCGGTTAAAACAAAGTTCGCTGTATAGGGACGTGCACTTACGTTGCAAAAGCATACAAGGCTATTTCAGCCAAGTGCTGAAAAATATGGTTATATGGAATATGGAATGACAAGGTGCTTGTGCAGATGTGATGGACTGAAGGGCCTTTTTCTGTGCTGTAGACCCCTTTGACTCTGTGACTTTTGGGGGTTGGTTATCTCATTCGGCTGAACTGCTAGCTTGTAACGTTGAGTGCTATCAACAGTATGGGTTCGATTCCTGCACTTGTTTCTCAGTCTCGCTCCTCACCCTGCACCGTGGACCCCCTCAGGTTAAACTCAGCACCATCATAAAACGAAGTACTGCAGGTGCTGACACGAAATCAGAAAGTGCTGGAGAAACCGGCAGCGGAAAGAGAGACAGAGTTAACTTTCCGAGCCCAGTTCTAGAGAAGAGCCCTGCCAGAACTTGAAACGTTAACTCTGTTTTCTCTTCACAGATGCTGTCAGATGTGTAGAGTTTCTCCAGCAATTTCTGTTTTTGCTAAACACGCCATCAAACGTGCATCAGATGGCACTACCAGACTGAATGCTGGGGTGGCAGGACTGACACAAGAAGAGAGACTGGATCCATTAGGACTGTATTCACTGGAGTATGGAGCAGTGTGGGTTGCTGTCATAGCAATCTATAAAATTCTCACTGGACTAGGCAGGGTAAAAACATAGAACATAGAACAGTACAGCACAGTACAGGCCCTTTGGCCCACAATGTTGTGGCAAACTTTTACCCTAATCCTAAGGTCTATCTAACCTCCACCCCTACCTTATACTATCATCCATATGCCTACCTAATAGACGCTTAAATGCCCCTAATGAGGCTGACTCCACTACCCTCTCCGGCAATGCATTCCACGCCCCGACCACTCTCTGAGTAAAGAACCTACCTCTGACGTCTCCCCTATATCTACCTCCACTCACTTTAAAACTATGCCCCCTCGTAATAGCTACCTCCACCCTAGGAAAAAGTGAATGAAGATTTCTGATGACTGGGGAATCCAGAACTGGCAGGTCACAGTCTAAGGATTCAGGATAAGCCATTTGGGACTGAGATGGGGAGAAATGTCTTCACCCAGAGAGTGGGGAGCCTATGGAATTCTCTGCCAGTGGTTGAGGCCAAATTGTCGAATGTTTTAAAGAATGAGTTGGGTGTTAGTATGAAAGGCTAAAGGGAGAAAGTGGGAACTCAGCTGGATGATCAGCCATGATCATATTGAGTGACAGAACAGGCTCAAAGGCCTGAATGGCCTCCTCCTGCTCCCATTCTCGATGTTTCTGTTTCAATGACAGACCATCCTATGGTCCTCCAGCAACCTTCAGCCCCTGTACTCTACTCTGCTTAAAATGGTTTTCTTTATATTATCATTCCCTTCCCCGTCATGAAGATCAAGATGTATCATTTGGCACTTTACTGTGTTTGCTACCTGTGTGCCCACACCATCAGCATAACCGCATCTTTGTGAAGGCCAACACCACCCTCCTCCGATTCTCGTCAGAGCAGCCAGTTAGCTCTCTCCTCCCTCATCACCAAGTCCTTGTCTCTGTTTCACACAGTTTATTATTCGGTGAGATGCCTTACCTGGTTCACTCCCCTTTAAAGGGCATGGGGAATCTCCTCTACAGCAATGACCCATGAAAAGTGTCTGCAGCATCGAGCGAATCTGAAGCTCATGGTGTGTTAGCCTTCGTGAGTACTAGAGTAAAGCAGCCTTGCTGGAGCTCTATAGAGTCTTGGTGAGACCACACCTGGAGTATTTTGCACTGTTAGGGTCTAATGGAATACCCCAGGAGCAGGAGTAGGCCATTCAGCCCTTCGAGCCTGCTCCACCATTCCATAGGATCATGGCTGTCCCTCTATCTCAACACCACATTCTCACTTTCTCCCCAAACCTGTTGATGCCTTTAGAATCTAAGAAATCATCTAATTCTTCCTTGAATATATTCAGTGACGCAGAACCATCTTCTCCACATCCACTCTATCCGAGGCCTCTCAGTATTCTCTGAGTTTCAATCAGATCCCCCCCTCATCATTCTAAACCCCATTGACTACAGAGCCAGAGTCCTCAACTGCTCCTCTTGTGACAAGCCCTTCATTCCCAGGATCATTCTTGTAAACCTCCAATGGGCCCCTTCCAATACTAGCACATCCTTTGAACTGAGTGGCTTTCTGGGCCATTCCAAAGGCCACATTGCTATGGGTCTGGAGTCACATGTAGTCCAGACCGGATGAAGTTCATATATTATGTTCATGTCTCTGTTCACACCAGTCACTGCGTCTTGGAACCAGAGACAGGAAAGAGGCCATTTGGCCCATCATGCCCACACTGGTCATCAAAACATCCATCCATTCCTAAGATAACAAGGTGTAAAGCTGGATGAACACAGCAGGCCAAGCAGCATCAGAGGAGCAGGAAGGCTGACGTTTTGGGTCTAGACCCTTCTTCAGGAAAAATCCATTCCTAATCCCATTTTCCAGTGTTTGAACACAATCACCTTCTGCTTTCTCCTGAGGACCCAGTCACTGAGAACCTGCTCACTTGACTCACATCCACCTACACACTTTGAAAACCAAAGCCAGGATCCATTCAAATTTGACTCACTAATTTTGGACTCCACCCAGACCCTGAACAACGTGCGAACTTATCGTGGATTTTAGGCACAGTCAAGTCAACAGTGTATTTACCCAGAAGTCAATAATGAGATCTGATAGGATCCAGTGAGTAGGACAAGACAAAGATTCCATCTTGGGCCTTTGTGTGAAGGCTGAGGAGAAAGTTTTAGTCTACATGAGGGACTCCAGTCTAGAGATCTATAGAGAGGCTCTACATAGAAACAGTTGACTCAGGATGGATGCTGTTGACACTAACGTGGAAGATTCCTTTCCTGGAAGGATATTAATGAACCAGAGGATCTTTTAACGGCTCTCAATGATACCTTCACAGCCACCATTATCGAGACTAGCTTCATGTTCCGGATTTTAATTAATTTAATTTCAGTTCCGCTACCTGCTGGAGTGAGATTTGAACCCACGTCTCTGGAGAGTTAAGCCAGTAACACTGCCACTGCACCAACCATCTCCTCGTATCTAACTCTCTGACCCTGAGCACTTGATGCCGTGCATTTCCTTGATTGCCAGCTAGAGGGCAGAGTTCTAGCACCCCTCCCCCAACCACCGCACCCCCCCACCCCCAAGGACAGAGGTAGGCGGACATGAGCATTTGGCATTCCCAGTCTGAGCCAGTTTCTCAGCACCCAGTCTTGGGGTGATGTCTCTGTTGGGGGAGATGGGGTTGGGGGGACGGCTGGGTTGAGGGAAGAGGGGCCAACTTATAGAGTCATAGAATCATATGGTACGGAAACAGACCCAACCAGTCTGTACCGACCATATTCCCAATCTAAACTAGTCCCACCATCCTCCACTTTACCCATATCCCTTCAAACATTTCTTACCCATGTATTTAACTAAATATCTTTTAAACGTTGTAACTGTACCCTCATCTACCCCCTTCCTCTGGAAGTTCATTCCACATGTGAACCACTCTCTGGGTAAAAACAAAAGTTGTCCCTCACGTCTTTTTTAAAATCTTTCTCTTCTCACCTTAAAAATATAGCTCGTACTCTTGAAATTTCCAACCTTAGGGAAAAGGCACCTACCATTCACCTTACCTTTGCCTGTCATGCTTTTGTAAACTTCTACAAGGTCACTTCTGAACCTCCTATGCTCCAGTGAAAGAAGTCGCAGTGTATCCAGCCTCTCCTTTAAACTCAAACCCTCCTTTCCTGGCAACATCCTGGTAGATCTTTTCTGAATCCTCTCCAGTTTAATAATATCCTTCCTATAACAGGGCGACCAGAACTGGACACAGTA